CATCTTTGCAGAATTCCTTTATGCTGTAATTATAACAAGTATTACTACCAATAAAATAATTGTAAATGTTATTTTACTAGTATCATATTTTATAAAGAAAAATTAAAAGAAAGAATTATGTTATTGATTATAATTATTAATTATAATAGATAAAAACTAATAATACAAACATATAAAAAAAAAAAAGATGGGTCAAACAAAGTTTGATTACAGATAATACAGACTGTATTATTCTAAAAACTACTAAATAAAAATAAACCATTTTCTCTCTCTCAAGTAGCAATTTTCTTGTTACACAAAGAGACATTTTAAATATATTAAAATTGAATTGCCACAATCTTGGGTGAATGCAACTTAAAAATTTCAAATATTCTATTTGTATCCTGGATGAAGAACTTGAGCGTTAAACATTATTATACTTACTGTTAGATATATTTAAACAGATTGTAAAGCATCACAAAGATTCAAAATGACTTCGTCTTCGTGCGTAAGCCCCCAAACAGGCGAAGAATCCGACAATCGCTATAGTTAACCCTAAGATCAATGCTAGAGTGTCACCGAAATCAAAATTGGAAGCCATTGCGACATCAAAAATGCCGAATATGATAAGTATAAAATACAACCACATTTTTCTTGTAAATGATAACTATATATATATCAATGTGTATATATATATATATAAATATAAATTGCAAGATTGAATTGTCACAGCTCTTGAATTGTCTTCTTGCACTGTCGTTTGTGCGTTGTGTAATTAATATAACTCGGTATCTCTTTTCAAATTAAGTAAGTTCGTCATCAGATTGCAAATAGTTGCGTGTCAAATCATGTTCTAACGTTTTATGTTCGTCACCGATAATTGCGTCTGTCGGTCCATCTAGCACTTTGTAAACACGAACATGGCGGCCAAATTTAACATCGATTAATTATCGAGTAGTCTCGCATGCGTGGAGAATTTCTCGTTCCTACAATTTAGATCTGGGGCTCTATTCTTGAAAAGAAACGTATACGAAAGTCTAGGGAAATGCTACAGTATACGTTACGTATACTATAGTATTTCGTATACGTTTCTCTTCAAGAATAGAGCCCCTGTTCGCGTTTTTAGTACTTTTTGCACTCAGCATCTTCGCTTTCTCTCTTTTCAACGCCGTGCATCCGATTTGCGTCGTATGACGCACATCGAATGAAGTGTGAATCCAGCATATTTATCTTGTTTTAAGTGCATTTTTGGGGAGCAACAGATCCTTTAGCCCGGATTCTCATACGGGCAACAGCGCTTTGATACAGAGCGCTAATTGGTGAAAAGCCGGTTGTGGGGGTAAAATTTACCCGCATCACCCATTTTTCACCAATCAGCGTTCGGTGTCAAAGCGTTGTTGCCTGTATGAGGATCCGGGCTTACCGTTTGTCACTAGGTCAACTAGTGCAACACTTGCAATTCAATGCAAATCAATTTACATATTTTCAGTTAATAAATAATTTAACTTTAAAAGGATTAAATTATTTAACCCTAGAAATATTACAAACCGAATTGCGTAATTTTAAAACGATATTGGTAATTTACTAGATCGAGTGTACTCGCAACTCGCAACGAGAATCGCATCATATATATTGGCACGCCGCGAAGATGGTTATATTGGCTACACTTGACTACTGTCAATAGAAAACTAACCTCATAAGCAGCCTTATATTCAGATGTGAGTAAACGAGTCTCTTGAAAAGCTAAGCACACCAGTGAGTCGAAAGAATGGCCGGTTCGGCGGCAAACGTAACGGTGTCGAGCATCTTGAAGAACAAGAGCTCGTTCGACGATGAGCCGCGGAAGAAGAGCAGAGAAGACTGGCGAAAGGCGAAGGAACTTGAAGAAGCGAGGAAGGCTGGTACAGCCCCCGCGGCCGTCGACGAGGAGGGTAAAGATATCAATCCGCACATTCCGCAGTACATCAGCGCGACACCGTGGTACTTCGGTTCTCAGGGTCCCACTCTGAAGCATCAGAGACCACAACCTGAGAAGCAGAAGCAGTACAGTTCGATAGACGATTGGTACAATCGCGGGGTAGATACCTCGCGAACGGCTATCAAGTATCGTAAGGGTGCTTGTGAGAATTGTGGCGCGATGACTCACAAGAGGAAGGACTGTATGGAGAGACCGCGTAAGGTTGGCGCAAAGTACACTAATTTCAAGATAGCGCCGGATGAATTTACCCAACCCGAGCTGTCTATGGACTACGATGGTAAGAGAGACAGATGGGCCGGTTACGACCCTTCTGAGCACAGAGCGATTGTCGAAGAGTACCAAAAGATAGAAGAAGCCAAGAGGCAGATGCGTGCCGAGAAGCTCAATGCAGAGGAAGAAAACGACGAGCAAGACTCGGACAAGGACGAAGATAAATATGTAGACGAAGTGGACATGCCTGGTACAAAGGTCGATTCTAAGCAGCGCATTACTGTAAGGAATCTCCGGATTCGAGAGGACACGGCCAAGTATCTGCGCAATTTAGATCCAAATTCTGCGTATTATGATCCAAAGACCAGATCTATGCGTGACAATCCTTATGCAGGTACAGAACGTGAAGTGGATTTCAAAGGTGAAAACTCAGCTCGTTTCTCGGGAGACACGCAGCAGCATGCTAATGCACAATTGTTTGCTTGGGAAGCGCATGAAAAAGGAGTCGACGTACATTTATTGGCTGAGCCTACGAAACTAGAACTATTGAAGCAGGAATATGACAAGAAACGCGACGAGTTGAAAGATAAGGCACGTGATGGTGTTATCGAGCGTTACGGAGGTGAAGAGCATCTTCAAGCACCACCGAAGGCTCTATTATTAGCACAGACTGAACACTACGTTGAATATTCGAGGTACGGTAAAATAATCAAAGGACAAGACAGACAAGTGATAAGATCCAAATACGAAGAGGACGTTTATCCAAATAATCACACGTTGATCTGGGGTTCCTATTGGCAAGATGGAAAATGGGCTTACAAGTGCTGTCATTCCTTCATAAAAAATTCATATTGCACCGGAGAATCAGGGAAAAAAGCAGCGGAAGCAGTGAGCAACAGCATACCAGATAAAATACCATCTATGGAAGAAATGGGGCTAGATAAATCAAATACAATGGATGACAATCATTCCCTCAATAGCGAATCTTCGTCCGAGGATGATATGAAAAACAGAACGGAATTGCAGAGTAAAGCGGCTAAACGAAAATTGAAAAAACAGAAACGAAAAGAAAATCGTAAGAATAAAAAACGGAATAATGCAGAAGCTGAAGACAAATTGAAAGAAGCGTTGAGAAAGGAAGAGGAAAATGCAGAGCAAGCAGACAGGATGTTGAAAGTAGACGAGAGGAAACGTCCGTACAACAGTATGTATGAGACAAAGGAATTGACAGCTGAAGAGATAGAAGCATATCAAATGAAACGCAAACGCGACGAAGATCCAATGGCCTATTTTCTTTAAAAATAATGTTTTATAAAACAGGACACTGATGTTGTATATATGTTTATGTGTAAAGCTTGTAATATTTATTTTGTATTATTCTACGAAAATACTAAAAGGTAGTACTTTAATGATACTAATTATATATATATATATATTAATTCAACAATTGCTTACAATTTTTTATTATATAATTCATTGTTCCTAATCTAATCTTCATATTCAAATCTTTCTAAGAAAATTAATAATTTTATTTTTCATGTCACACACACAACAGATATCATTGATTAAGTTAATTGATCGTTTCAGTTTGGAAGGAGTTGGGTCCATTTCTATTAATGTAGATTAATTAATTTCACTGTAACTTATGGTTTCTGCACACTTGACGCGGAAATGCTTGCGGCAAAATTCGGCGCGATAATCAATGAACATCTTAAAAGCTGTACGCTTATTGGCTACCGCGTTACAATTTGCCGCACAGTAAGTGACTAGAAGTTTACACTGCTCGGAAATGTGCTCAATCATAGTCTTTCCATTCTTTAAAGGAATAGCTACGATTGACCAGTTTCATAACATCGACATTATAACCCCGGCGTAAATCGATTTGTATATGTATAGGAACAATTCATTGGCTACTACAACTTCATTGCGCGACAAACAATTTCGCGTCCAGTGTGCATAATTAACCATAAGTTAAACTGAGATTAAAATTAATCTAAATAGGTATCAGTCGTTTAATATTACTCGGAATTAGTCGTTTAAATTTGGCCAGAATTGGTCTTAAATTCGCAGAAAAAATATGAACTTATATAAAACTTTGTATTTCCGCGCCTCAGGAAAAAAGTCATAGAATTATCGCTTAGAGGGCATTGCGTGCGCTGGAGTATCTGAAATATGTGATAGTTCGGCGACTCCTGATAATATTTAATCGATGACCAAGGGAAAAGCGCTAGACTGCCATATTAGAAGCAGACCGTGACTTTAGACATCAAATGTCTTCTTTCCCTGAGGCTTTATTCCCACGATCCACGATATGATGTTTCGCCGTGTTGTATTTTCGTGCCGATGAGAAGTGTACAGTTTGTGGGTGTTCTGTACCCAGCATGTCGTTCTGTGCGTCTCACGCGTCTATCGTACGTTCCTTTTAACTCGCCACTCTGAAAATGAAATCTTATTTTTTAATTTAACTAGGAAACCGCGTGTGAGTTAATTGCGCTGCTAGCGTGTCGCATAACGCGCCGAAAGGAAGAAGAAAAGTAGAAGAGAAAAGGAAGGAGTATGTTTTTTGTTCGGAAGTTACGAGACTGGCAATGATTTGACGTTGAAGATGACATAAATCTGCGCTGTACGTATTTCTGTATAAAGGTGGAAGAGGGAAAACAAAAGAGAGAGAGACAGAGAGAAAGGGAGAGAAAGAGAGAGAGAGAGAGAGAGAGAGAAAGAGAAAGAGAGGAAGAGAGAGAAAGGAAGAGATGTGTCGGCGGATAAATTACTACAATTTGCTTAATAGCTAATAGACTCAAAATTACTGGTATGCTTTTACGATTCACTCACCATGTCCGTATATGCGACGATACTGCCTCTCATCTTCCTGGGATTATTAGGTAATGTGTATATATATAGTAATATTTTGTTTAAAATTTTTATTTTTTGTTTTTCAAAATCTTGTTCTCAGAAGATTTAAAGGAGCATGGAACTTTTTCAGAGAGTAAGATAAAGAAGAGAATTTTAGGATAACTTTGATTAAACTCAGATTAACTTAATCATTGCTTAATTCAATTGGCAAAATTGCTTGCTGCACAATTTTTAATTATATAATTTGTATTACTAATCTAAGCTTTTTCTCTGTATATTAAACAATGAAAGATTAATTATTCTATTCATATTGACAAAGTAATATTGTTTGACAAGATAAAAACCGATTAAGTTGTTTAGAACTTGGTCCAAGTTATTTTTATACATTGTCACTGATTATATTCAGAAGAACGCGCGTGCCAGCTTCTTTAATTCAAATTAATTCAAATTTGAATAAAGTCAAATAATTGCAATAATTTTGCACTTTTGCATTAGATTATGTTTATAAATGATGTTGCTGTCTGTCGTATATACTTGCCGTTTATTCTTCAATTCTCTCTGTGAATTTAAAACTTATCCAGCAATTTGTTCCTATGTTCAGTTACATCACTGTTTTTGCTTTGTAAATTGTAGACAGATGAATAATAGAAAACAGTTTGCAAACAATTACAGTAGCAGTTTGAGATTTTTTTCTGACTACTCAGTTAAACAGTGACCAAGTCCTATATGCTAAACTTTGCGCAAGTTTGGTATATAGGCTAAGTGTAGTAGCAGCTATAGCAGCTTTATACATATACCTATATCTTAGTTAAATTATAGATTCATTTATGTGTGAAGATAAACTCTATCCTTGTCTACATTTTGACAGAGAAAATATAATATGATATATTTTAAATAAATTAGATGATTGAAAGAGCAATTAATTAAAAGAAACTGCAATTAATCCTTTTTAGATAAACAAAACAATTAATATAATTTATTAATTAATGTTAAATACAAAAATAATAACATTAATAAAAAATAATAATGTTAAAAACAAAAATTTTGATCTATTATTTTAGGAATTACGTCTGCAAAAGATATTAAAGGTTCAATCTTTTGTGAATTTTATAATGAGACAATGTGTGCAGAGAACGAACAAGAATGTTCAGGAAGAGAAGAATGTGTCCAACATGATCCAGATAAACGTAATCATTGTTATGTAGTATGGATACAGAACAATACTACTAAAGAAACAACAATTAAATTAAAGGTTAGTTATTTATCTGGTTAATATTATTTACAGTACCCTCCATAAGTTTGGGAACACTCTACGTTTTATAGGAAAGCCATTACATGACAGCGATCTATACATGTTTTTGGTTTAAATACTTTGTAAAACATCTAAATGACGATAAACATTTATCTAGAACACCTACAAGCCTGTATATGCTGAAAATATGTTGGACAATCATTTCACAGCCTCGAAGCGCTCAAGATTGAATTTCGCGCTTTGGTCTATTGTTTATATGTATATTGTCACTTGTTTTACAAAGTCGTACTTGTTTTCATTGTATATACACAGGTCATTGAATTCTAGTTTAACGTTTTCTATAAAAGTGGTAAACTATTTAAGTCGCAAGTTGATTTCAGATTTCGTAAAAATTGTAAAATGGTTCTGAAGAATCAGATTTCGTATGAATCACATTTTAATTAAAATTCCATATTTTAATAGCACGTTATTAAATCTTTAATTGAAAAAAGACGAAATAAAAGTACATACGTACGTTTTTCAATTAAATAATTATTTGCAAACCTGTAAAACATAGGGTGTTCCCAAACTTATTAAGGGTGCTACATATTATATATACAGGGTGTCAATTATGTACCGGGACGGTCAAATATTTCGACAACTTCCAACATTAAAAA